CTGGCTGTGTCGTCTGAAAAATTACAAGGTAATGATGATGGCCGAATAATAACCAGGAGGCGGTCTATTCGTCTTTTGTTTTGCATTTGGGTAATTAATTTTGTTTGGTTTCCTCAACCGTCAAAAATTATCTGTAGACGCATGCTTCCACACAGTTAACACCCCCGAATAAGTACTTGGCAGACACGCATTTTTTTTTAAATGTTTCACAAAGTTTTTAGGTATAAGAAAAGTAATTTGTCAATTACCTCAAGAATAATCTAGTTAATGACCTCAGAGCTCATTTGGAGGTAAATTTCATAAATTCATATATCATTCACCAATTTGGCGCTAGATTTTTGTAGAGATCGAGATTCTATACTAAGTGACATATAAATCCGAACACCCAGTTTAAATGGTTTTATTTTAATAAAATTTTGTATAAGTACTTAATGAAGCATAATAAGTAAATGATAAAAATTTCAAAATGATTGCACTGCTTTAAAGCCCTTTGACCTTTAATAATGTGTGGATGCACCCTGATGTGCTACGCATTCTCCAACGCGCCTAGGCATGCTTCTGATCAGGTGCTCAATGTCCTCCTGTGGTATCTCATTCCAGGCAACCACCAACTCCTCTCAAAGTGCTTCTAGAGTCTGAGGAGGACATTGCAAATTGAGCAATCTCCTACCCATAATATCCCACACGTGCTCAATTGGGGATAAGTCGGGAGATCTTGGTGGCCATGGTAACAATGTGACATCATTATGTTGAAAGAAGTCTATTGTGACTCTTGCAACATGTGGTCGGGCATTATCTTGTTGGAAAGTTGGATCTGCCAGGGTGTCAAGATAGGATAAAAGATGGGGTTCTAGAACTTCGTGGATATAACGCTGCGCGTTCATGTTACCTCTGATGAAGATTCAAGGTGACCTGGAACCATAAGCTATAGCACGCCAAACCATAACTCCAACAGTGTGATGAACATGTCTTTCAACAAAAAACTGTGTATTCCTCCTTTCACCACGTCGCCTTCTAACCCTGGCACGACCATCGTGCATGCCTAAACAAAATCGAGACTCGTCACTAAAGACAATACTGTTCCATTCCTGATCCCAGAGTGACCGTTGTCTGCACCACTCAAGGCGATTACGTCGGTGTTAAAGGGAGGACCCAGTGTGGCCGGTATGAAAACAAGCCAAAACTTCTCATTCGTCGGTAAACACTTCGCATGCCAATAGGTCTTCCGTGTTCTGCAAACCATTCATTTGCAATGGACCTGGTAGTGGAGAAACGGTCCCTTAAGGCCAATAGTCTTAGGCGGCGATCATCACGGTCTGTTGTTCTACGGCGGCGTCCAGTGCCCCCTTGCTCTTTGCGTACGGCCTTCTCGAAGCCATGCCTGACAACACCTAACCACAGTGTCTACACTTATTTGCACTCTAACTGCAATTGCCCGAAAAGAAAGTCCAGCTTCCCGAAGTCCCACTATACGGCCCCTATCAAACTCACTAAGTTGACGAAATCGTACAGGTCTCCGTACTCTAGGCATCATAACCGATCGTAAAGGATGTCAAGAACCAAAATCCGCCAACGTTGATTCTTTACTGCGGCTGAAATATTCATTTTTAGAGCGTTAGTGAATTAAAAAAAAGCAGTATAAAAACCGGAATGTCCAACTGATAAGGCTGAAAATTTTTTCACTTGTTATTTACAGTAAGATAAATACATTCACCAACTTTTATTAAAATAAAACCATTTAAACTGGGTGTTGATTTATATGTCACTTAGTATACATCAGGTTACATTTTCATACGTGAGGTACGAGGGATGTCTTTTAAGTTTTGCATATGGAAATAAAACAACACGGTACGTAGTTTTAAATGACTTTATTGTTTTTCGAAGTATTCTCCACGAAGATTAATACACGTCTGCATTTCCACTCGTTTGCTGGCAGATCCAAAACGGCATTTTTTTTCTGGTGACTGGAACCTTTCACCACGCAGTCTGCCTTTAATTTTCGGGAAAGTAAAGAAATCGTTAGGACTTAGATCGGGGCTATATGAAGGATGGTCCAATAATTCCACGTTTTCTTCCGTTAAATACTGCCTTGTTTTTTAATTCTTCCTTCGGGGTTGATTTTTCGAAGCTCGGTCATCACTTTTGGCAAAAAAACGGTGGTATACCAATCCGCAGTAACAGTTATTTGCTCATCAAGAGGAATTGTTGCAATAAGACCCGCTTTTGACACAAATGTCGCGACCATCTTTTTCGAAACACTTCGAGAACGGATGACTTTTGTTGGCTTTTCTTCACCTTGGAACACCCAAACAGCCGACTGTCGTTTATTTTCTGGTTCATTACAGTACATTCATGATTCATCACCACTAACAATGCTGTACACATTTTTGGAGTTTCCGAAATTTGAACCGGTCAAGCGTTTTTTGACACCAATTAACCCTGGCTGCTTTCTGCTCGTCAGTCAACAGGTGGGGTATCGAACGAGAAACTAATTTTCGTACTCCTAATTTTTCATGTAAATTTTTTTGAACTTAGGTCTTTGAGATTTTCAAGGACGCCTCAATCTCGCGATATGTCACATGTCTATCTTCAATGATGAGTTTGCGCACAGCATCGACGTTTTCCTGGGTGACTGCCGTTTTTGGTGCACCCACCCTGGGATCGTTGCTAAGACTCACCCGTCTACGTTTGAATTCTCCATACCAAAGGGAAATTGTCGACTGATGTGTCACTTCATTGCCGAAAACAATCAGTAACTCAGCAAGGCATTCTTGTTGAGATAATTGTCTCTGAAAGTTGTAATAAATTATGGCGCGAAAATGTTCTCGGTTGAGTTCCATTTTTCTAATGACTTGGTGACACTAATTCACTGTAGAGAGAACACCGCACGTATTGTTGTGAAGCTTTGAATTTAAGTTTACTAAAGATTGAGGTTAAGATTCAGTACTGACGTTCGATCCGCGCGGCCTACTATGTTTCTATATGCAAAACTTAAAAGACATCCCTCGTAGTCATTAATGGTACTATCAGTATGACATACTGTATGCAATGAAAAGTACACGATCACCACGAAAACTTAAATACCATACATCTTTCTTAAAAATATGTCACCTAGGTAATGACCTCAAAGCTCGTTTGGAAGTCAAGTTTGTTAACTCAAACAGCAACCACGAATTTTGACAGCAGACGTTTGAAAGCAATTACTAATAAAATTCAATTTTTCAAGTTCTTATTTTTGTATTAATAACAGCAGGATAAGGTAATACTTTCAGTCACAGTATACTTTTCGCTAATCGTACAAGATAATTTTATGTAACGCTATATTTATATAACGTTCAGTTAAAACAGAGTTGTATACGTCACGCAATTAATATAAAAAGCCAATGATTACATGGCCTACTGTATCGTTTTGTTTTCTAACATGCAAATTGCTTTTAATAACAGTATGTCTATGTCTACAAACGAGAAGTTCGGCTTGGTTGATGATGCGCGAAATCTATTCGATCTTTGAGAAAATTAACTATGTATGTGTGTTTTTAGTAACAATCGACGGCAATGGAGAAAATCATTTATGCACGGTAATTCAAAAAATGTGGCAATATTTCTAGAGTACAAATTCATTCAGAAAGTTCCTAGAAAAATAGGACCTTCAACTTCTGGCTTGCAAGATACAAAGTGTCAAACTTCACTAACTTCAATGTAGAATGCATTGAAGTTTTTTATACAGATTTTGCCTTAAATATTCAAACCAATTTTTTTCCAATAGGAGCAGTCTAACATTTTTCAGGAGAGGCGATTCATGAATAACTGGATACCTTATTTCAAAATGCAATAGTTGCTCCAAAGAAGGTAGCGGTGTAAAAATAGTATTCTTTATTCTTTTGTAGTGTTTAAAATTTCTCAAGTTGAGAAAAAATTAGAGAATTAACATTCAGACCCAAGAATACCAATGCATTGGAAATACCAAGGTCACTCGACACCTTCAAAGCTTTTGGTCCCAGCATGATTCCTGGGCTTATCGAAGGAGTTTGCTCTAAAATGTCTCTAGTATTTTCTGAAAGGACTGGAATATCACTGTCCCAAGAATGATTTACAGCGTCACTCATTTCGGTCGGTCTGTCTGTCCGCTATTCCCTAGCCCGTCTATAAGTTGGAAACTAGCGGTCAGATTTTGATGAAATCCGTACGTAAGGTTACGACTATGCCTGTGACGACGAAGCTTTGTAGTTTTTGAAGATAGGTCCAGTAAAAGCCACTTGAGCTTCGTTTTTTAACGTTTCAGGGGTTCCTGATTATTTTTGGGAAAAACATAGGGATAAAGAATCGGGTGGTGGAGGGTGTATCGCAATTTTATGATTTTGGTGTAATAATACACTTCTAACCCCGATAATTCTACACACCTATTAGACATATTTCACCCATCATAGGTTGCCCCGTACATTTAGACTCAAAACGTCGAACGATCCTATCCTGTCTCTACGGACTTCAACGGACGCCGCCAGCGAGCTGGTACGCGTACGTGCCCTGCATGACTGGTGCTCTGTAGGCGCTCTGCCGCGTGTGTCAAATCATGTTTTCAGATATTGGGAAGAGACGGTGCGACGATGCCAGATGGACGGTACTACGGACAGGGTAGGGAAAGGATGTTATGGACTAATTATACGAACTTGTTTGACGAACTTGGTCCGTTTACTTTCTGTGTTATACATTTCTTAACTATCTTTTTTCTTAGAGGGTCTAGTTGAAACATGCTGCTTTATCGGTTCAACAAAAGGCAGGCAATCACATGCCGCTTTTTCGTATCTTTTTTTTTAGCAACTGATCAACATGGTCTAGCTCTGGTCTCTGGGACAATGAACGAAAGCATAGCAACTATCCTCTATTTAAGACATAAGGTCTACGGCGCTGTCTTATTTAGATTTGGTCTAAGTTGTGCGGAACATAATCAATTTAAAAACTGATGACGGGAAGTGTAGGGTTAACATACTTCACGCACTTACTCATCTCAATCCAAGGCGGTCATGCTTCATAGAAAATCCACTAGAAAGGTCTATCCTCAGCTCTACTGATCTTATCCTACTCGTAGTACTGCCTTTGCGGTTGCCTAAAAGGGGAAAACGGTACTATAACGATAACCGATACCATTGAAACGAACTAGTAAATTGCAGATGCTTGTATTACAAAAACAGCACAGGAACTTGAAACCAGCCCTCGTACCGAAACATAGTATCTCATCAGACAGTCGGCAGCATCGTTTTCTCACAATTTAAGCATAATTGAGGTGCGGTACCGCCATGGGTACGTGTCGGGTTCGGATCAGTGCTACCGAACGTTCAAATCTACGAGCCGACTAAAAATTATACGCCGCTACGTGATCGTACCGAAGCCGGTACGATTCAATCCGGGGTCCATCAGATTACCGATTATCGGTGCGGCTACTGGATGGTGGCATCTTGGAAAAAATATGCTGGGAAAGCAGTACCATGATCATTTTTGCTACCTGTTCACCAGTGTTGCCATTTCAGAACTTCTGCTTAAAGTAAGACCTAAACCTTACCGCAAGTGAACAATGTTGTCGAAAAGCTGTTAAAAAAGCAATACCTTGATCATACCTCTCTAGCAGTATCGGCATTTCAGTGCTTTTGCCGAAGCAACTGATCACTTTACGTAGCCACAAGGAAGAAACATATACTTAAAGGTACTATCACTAGCATTTCTGTTATCTTTCTATTAGTAGGTATTGTGTTTTTAATCATTTTATTATGCAAAACGGCAGTACAGCGATAGGATTCAATCCTAGGTCTATCTGTTCACGAATTATCGAAACAGCTTCTCGATGGTGGCATCTTTGAAAAATACCATGATCATGCCTGCTATCTGACTTACGTACGCATTTACCATTTCGGAGCTTCTTCCTAAGTAATTCTTTTGGATGCCTTAATGGAAATGTAACAGAAAAAAAACTTGTGGAAAGAGTACCATCAGCATTGTCATTTTAGAGCTTTTGCTTAAGCTGAGGTCGAAACAACAAATATGCTATTTACAAGTGGACAATACCGTGTAAACACCATGCTGGGAAAGTAGTATCATAATCATTTCCGTTACCTATTCCGGAGTGTTGTCATTTTAGTACTTTTGCCTCAATAGCTTCTCTCCTGGCTGACAGTATCATAGAAGACATTTACTGAGCAGTTAAGTACCATTATCGAATGCCTTATATGGTACTGAGCGATCGTTCTGCCAGTACCATTCAATCCGAGTTCTATCAGATTACCGTTTCTCCACGGGGCTATTGGATGGTGACATTTTTGAAAAATTGCTCGAAAAGCAGTACCACCTACTAGATAAGTATCTACGATGTTTACTAGTGGTGCCATTTCATAGCTTCTCCCTAAATAACTCTTTAGGCTACTTCAGTGGGTGTAACAGAAAAATATAGTGGAAAATCAGAATCATGATTATTTCTGCTATCTCTCCAACAATGCTGACAAATAAGAGCTTCTAGCTAAGCGAGGGTTGAAACTACGAATGCCCTTATATAATACCTACCTACCATCATGATCATTTCTACTACTAGGCCAGTCGTCTCTGTAGTACAGTGGATAGGCTATCCTAGAAAAATGCTAGTAGGGCAGTACGATGATCGTTTCTGCTACTATTCGTCGGTAACTTTTGTTATTTTAGCCCTTCTGCCTGAAGGAAGACAGTGTCACGATCATTTCTTCTACTATTTGTCAATCAATTTTGCTACTTTAGTCCTTTTGCCTAGGTAATTCGTCTCTCTGCTACAAGTGTTGGGCATCCAGTTACTCAAGGTGTCCAGATATCTTTTCAAAAGTTAGTTCTTAACTCAGTAGATAACATTACCAGTCTTAATCTTTGGATTTTGGGATACAATACTCAAGGTGTTAGTGATGCATTTTATTCAAAAAAACCCACGTTTCTACATTTATTTGATGTCCTCTTTAGAGCTACAGGATGCAGAAAAGAAATTCCTAAATAATACAAAAATATATTCAATTAAAGTTTCGATTTACGCAATGGATCAAAATATACAAATACAAGTATTGTTTTTAACTTATTTATATATTTGGATTTATTTTTTAACTTATAACTTTATTTGGATTTGTTTTTAGCATCTTCTTCTAACGAAATTTATTTTCGCATTCTGTAGTCGCCTTGAAGGAGACATCCAATAAATGTAAATCACTTTTCAAGTAAAAATAAACATCTGAGGATTAAGACGTAATGCTATCACATTCCTTAAAAACTTTCCACATAAAACCACGCACATCTTTTTTTGGGTTATTTTTACTTATCTAAAGCTCGACAGGCCACTCCATCTTCAAAGACTTCAACTTAAAATGCATCCTGGAAGGACACAATTTATTAATTCCAAAAGAATTCTACAGGTAATATTAATGATGGCTAGGCAACTGACAGAATACCATCCTGATAGCACCTTAATATGCACGACATAGACAAATAACCAATAACACGGATGCTAACTGGTCAATTTCCTGTCCCAACAAACCAGTAGCAGCCAATTTAATAATCGTGTAGTTTCCACCAAAAAAGAACCGTCGGAAACAATTTTTCAAAACAGCCACCCAGCCAAAGTAATTAGGTGAATCCAGCGTACTAAATGTTGAAAAATGTGGTTTTATAATATAATAAGCTTTTTCTTTTGATCGTCGGCATCTTTGTTGTCTATTAGTAAAGGTGGCTCTGACAAAAGGGGCATTGTCGGCGAACGGCTGTATTTTAGAATAAGAATGAACCGAGCTTCTAACCTGTTTTGTGTTGGTTAGTCCAGGTCTCTTAGTATCAAACAGGGTATTCAATAAGACTTAATGCTAATGCCAAAATAAAGCACTAATTCTGGCCTAACAGACGAAGTTAAAAATCACTTTAAAATAAAGCAATCTCAAAATATTCTTTGGGGTCTTATAGAAAGACAACCTTAATTCAGATACTCAAAATTATAATTCTCAACCGAGTCTTCAACCTATGAATATACCCATTATCAGGGATCTTCAGATATTAAGTCGCTTATAACTCAAAAATGGTCAACTTAAGAGAAAAGTTTCTGCAGGTATTTTTTGTTGAAAATGATCCAAAGAAACTTAAAAAATTGTTCGGGCAAATCATTGAAGTTTATTTAAAGAACTTGTGTAAGCAAATTTGAACTAAAGCTAAAACCTTGCTCTACAATACATTTGAATAATATTTTAAGAAAAGTTCATTTTAAAGCGATTTTTAACCCTTGGTTAATAGGCCAACTTTTTATTCTCACAGACTGTACATTCCGCTTGAAACTTATCCTGTGGCTTTCATGCTAGTAGACACCTTGATTGTCATGTAGCGGCCAAACGTACCAGGAATAAACGCGTTTAATTTTCATGCTACTGTTCTTATATTTGTTTGAATGCTATTGAGTAAATCTACCATAGCACCAAGTAACTCTTTTAGAATGTGATGTCAAGGAGCTAGAAGGGTGGCCAATATACAGAGTGTTACCTGATTGGGGGCGGATTCCTGAATCAAATTTACGCAGAAAACATGTGTCACAAAGCATCTGGTTTGCAGGATATAGGGTGGCATAACATTTGTTTTTTTTTTAATATGTATCATTAATAAATTATATCAATGTGTAAAGATCCTTGTGCCGATTTTGTATTTTGGTGGTGTTGTTCATTGGAATAAGACACTAAGTTAGCGCCAACTGGCAAATACTTTTTAGTGCCAGTAGCGTTTCGGAGGGCAGTTTTACGGATTATACTGCCAAAAAAATGTGCCACTAGCTTTAAAAAAATATAAATTTTTTATTAAGCATCTAAAGATCAACTTTTTCTCCCTTGGTATCCCTTCATAAGTCACTTCATTTAGAAAAGAACTATAAAAACAACTTCATTACACTTCGAGAAACTGTTAAAAAACGTCAATCCAGCTTTGGAAGGTTAGGGAAGGTTGTTCCGTTGTTAAAAACAAATGTTTGACTTTCCGTGTCAATTTGCTATTATTTTTTCTCAGGGAAAAAGGAAGAATATTCTTAAACATTGAAACTTAGAATCAAAACTTTTTATCTTATGTGAACTTTTCTACTTTAACGTCGAATGTCGCCATCTCTATACCTACACACAGTAAAACAATCAGACGAAAAGTATTAAGAATACTCCTCCAGAATGGCGGTTGAAACCATAATTAATATGATTCAGAAATGCGCGCTTGTGACTACGGCCTATCATTGAGGAACACCCTGTAGATAGTACGAACCTTTAAAGTAATCTAAGCCATCACACCGCGGGCGTCAAACGACAGCCAAGCAGTCGCAGTCGCAAATTGTTTTGTATCGTAATTCCTTTTATTCTGTTTGTCAAATATAATATAAAGGAAATCAGTATCATCCAATAATGAAAATCCTGTGCTACTGGTAGCCGATACCTTCGTGGTAATCCGGTGTCTCATCCCTGGAATGTTGATGATAAAGGGCACTCCAATAAACTTGCAGTATAGGCAGCACACGCACATTGCATCAATACCGCGGATATATTATATATAAAACAACTAGACTATAATATCTCATACATGTTGTCGCTTTTTATATCCAATAATCCAATCAATATGAGCCTGGTTAATTACTTAATAGTGCATATGGATTTTATTGAACAAGTCTGATCGTTATCTAGAATCGTATCAGATCTAAATATAGTAAATGAGGTACGCGGATAGATTAATGCTAAGTACCAGATAAACATTTTATATTATGTGATAATGAGTGCTTAGCGAAAGTCCGTGAGAAGGCAAAAATTGCAAGTAACCTGATTGCAGAATCAAAGAATTGGAAAGTAGTACCTATTTAGCGGTATAAATATAGATTAACAATTAAATATGTAGTCTAATGATTTGACTTTCAAACTAGTTTAGGTATAAGATTAGATTGTACGGTTTCAAACTAATGATGCCGGCGGACAAAAATCCACACTAAACAGCGTATGTTGCATACATTATCCCTACAACGTTTGTATAACACTTTTTTCTAACCGATAATACAAAAAAATAGAGGAGGGATCAGTTTATAGAGAAACACTCAGAACAATGTTCCAAGCACAAGTGGTTGGTGACGCTAATGTACCTCTCCTTGTTTATAAATGCTCAAGTTCAATAGGTATAATCCAAGCCTGAGCCGAATTTATGCGGAAAACTCATCTTTTTCTTTGTTTTCATACCGAAGTAGCCGCGCAGGCAGAAGCCTATATACCGGGGCACTGCGGCTTTATGAGGAGATTAAAGACACTTTGTTAGTCCGATTGCCTAAGGTTAGTAGAACTGCCTCCTCATGTAGATTGTTCCACAATCTCGATACCCTAGGTAGAAATGAGCGGTCGTATCGGCCAGTTCTGGAAGTACGAAGTTCGACACAGTTAGAATGGGAGGCCAAAGTCAGGCGAGTAAGACAGGTAGGTACATCGTGCGGCGGCATCAGAATCCGCCATTTACGACGGATGTCTTGCGGCTAGAGCCACCCCATCTATAAATCTTCTTTGGGAGGCCATGGGATGGAAGTTTGCATAGAAGGGCAGCGTACCACAGCTGGTGGAACGCTTTCGTGCAAATTTCCACTTTTCTGGAAAATTGCCAGATTCGTAACATGTGAGGAAGAGACTCAGACTGTCGGTCTTATGCGTGAAGGTTACTTCCCGCATAGTGTAGGGAACCCTCGGGTGTTCTTAGCCTATAAAACTTCCCTTGAAGTCAATGAATTTTAACTATACATGGGAATTTAATGGTTCTAACTTCTCAAAATACTCTGTCGTTTTCCTCAATTGTTTCCTTTTCGTGTCAAGCTGAAATCAAAGCACCGCAGTTCGCCAAGAGATTTTTCGCGTGCACCAAATTATAGCTAATTCCCATGTATTTCCCCCATTTTCGGATTTGATTTTCTCCTCTAAGGCTGGGGCAACACCATTTGTGGCAAGCGGTGTTATACGCTAGATGCCCTGTATAATAAAATCCTAGAAATGTTAAAAAACAATGTATTAATCGATTATTTTTCCTTCAAATCGATGTTTAATGATCGATATTCTTAATCAAATTAATCGATTTTCAAACGCTCAGATATACAAATTACACGTCAATCAATTTTTGTATGTATACGACAGTCGCAAAAACTTAAAGGTCACATTTCACTAATATGAACAAGTCGATCAATGATGACACCATCTAAGTACCTGTAAGCGATTTTAAATGATTTTATTTAGCTCGTTAGCTTGCCATATTTTGTGAGCATCAATTTAACGGTTCAAACTTTATCTCCTTTTATGTATACTCAGTGTCACTGTATCGCTACAAAATGCTGGATTACATATTTTTTAACAAACTTTCCATTATGGGTTATTAAACTTTAATCAGTATTTATCAGGATGTCAAAAGAAATACGAGCTCATCTCGTCACCTAAAATCCTATGAGACCGGTGATGTATCCTATTATCTCACCTCAGCACCTAACTGGTGTCCTGCCAGCTTGCCACTTGCGGTGTGACCTCGGCATAACGAATTATTCGCCTATAGCAAGGTTCAAAGAAGGAAAAAATCATTACTAACCCCCACCCTTAATTAGACCTTATTTACATGAGAAATAATTACGACAGTATAGTGCACGATTGACGCTATCTTGGAGCTTG